ACCAGCCAGGAGGGGCACGGATCCAACAAACATGTGGTTGCATTCAGCCTACCCAGGACCCTGTCCACGTCCTCGGGAGCAACAGAGTCAAACTCCTCCCATGTAACCGTCTCAAGGCCTGCTTCCGTCTCCTCCCCCTGGGCCAACCAGTCGGTATCCAAGCCTTCTCGGATCCGCGCGACTTTGTCATGCAGATATTTGCCATCTATCTATCTATCTATCTATCTATCTATCTATCTATCTATCTATCTATCTATCTATCTATCTATCTATCTATCTATCTATCTATCTATCATCTATCTATCTATCTATCATCTATCTATCTATCTATCTATCTATCTATCATCTATCTATCTATCTATCTATCTATCTATCTATCTATCTATCTATCTATCTATCTATCTATCTATCTATCTATCTATCTATCTCTGTGTCTGTCTGTCTATCATATCTATCTATCTATCTATCTATCTATCTATCTATCTATCTATCTATCTATCTATCTATCTATCTATCTATCTATCTATCTCTGTGTCTGTCTGTCTGTCTTTAAAATCCTCCACGTGGGCGTAAAGCCAATCAACGACATCTGCTCCTGCAAAGAACAAGCAGGAAGACATGGAAACATGGTTATTTGCCATCTATCTATCTATCTATCTATCTATCTATCTATCTATCTATCTATCTATCTATCTGTGTCTGTCTGTCTATCATATCTATCTATCTATCTATCTATCTATCTATCTATCTATCTATCTATCTATCTATCTATCTATCTATCGCTCTCTGTGTCTGTCTGTCTGTTTGTCTATCATATCTATCTATCTATCTATCTATCTATCTATCTATCTATCTATCTATCTATCTATCTATCTATCTATCTATCTATCTATCCATCCATCCATCCATCCATCCATCCATCCATCCATCCATCCATCCATCCATCCATCTTCTGTTAATGGAACCTTACAATAAAGTTAAGGTTAGTGAATGCCCAGGGTCATTCTGGATTGATCAGGGAGAAAATCCTGAGCAACTCTTAACACAGGAAGCTGCTGATTTTGGCCAAACTTTCATGCCAGGTTCCTCACTGCCACAGTTTAAAAGAAAACCTGGTGAGCAATTTGATTCCGGGTAGGAAGAGCGTACCAATCACTGCGTTGGAGATGGTGATTTTTAACCACATCCGGTCCCGAATTTCCAGCCCCGAATCTGGTAACTGCATCACTTTGACAATGGTGGCCATGTCGCTTTTCACCGTCAAGGGGGTCTCGTCCAGCTCTGAAAGGGGAAGGAAGATCGGAGATGCTGATTCTGCGGAAGGAGGACCGTCAGGAGGGGCAAAGAAGAGCAAGGCAGAGGGAAAGGAAGCAACTTCACACAGGGGCAGCCTGTTGTGAGAATGGAGTGGAAATTTCTGCTTTGGGGAGGGGGAGGGGGGGGCGACCATAATAATCAGATTTTGCTAGTTTTGTATCCACCAGCAAGAGCCTAATTAAAAAGGATAAGGGACTTCTGGGGTCCTATGAGCTTGGTGGTTTTCTTGCACACCTTTCATTACCCAACTAGGTAACATCATCAGCGGTTAAGGTGGAGTGGGGTTTGCTCTCTCTCCCCTTCTAGCACGGATGATGTTGTCTAGTTGGGTAACGAAACAGCTGCAAGAAAAACAGCCAAGCTCAGAGAGCACCAAGGACCCCACACTTCAATCCTTAGCTACAAATATTCTCTTCTAAAGGACTTATCTTTGTCAAAATATCCATCCTGCGTGGATTTGGTGTTTTCTAAGAGCAAGGATTATTATTTTTTAAACCCTTTTATGCAGAAGCCCGTGAACTGAGCAAAATGTAGCAAGGAGCAACAACAGAGGCAAAAGTAGCAGTTTTCAGGGCTAACAGAAGCCCTGGAGTCTTCTTCAGCCTTGTGACGACCTACCAGAGACTGAAAACTGGCATTTTGCTATCTGTCTGCCTCTGGCTCTCCAGCTAAGATTTAGTTTCAATCCAATCCCGAACGTTGCAGGAAAAATGTTGAACTCTGCCAAGGGCTAAGAGCTTGATCTGTAAATGGCGAAAACATTAAAAATGGGAAGGGATGGATGATAGCAGAAAGTTGGGAAAAAGTTGGGCGTTTTCTTCCTAGATCTTTTTCCGGCACCCCGTGCTCAGAAATTGTTAAGTAATCATCCGTCATCCTTGGGATAGACTCGGTAGGTGGATAAAAAAGGCCAGAGCCAGCCTACACATCTGGCTAACTAGGCAGCCAGCCATAATAATATTGCCACAGAACATGAGGACGCAACAGAAACATTCGCGTGTCTCAGGCTAGGCAATGCAAGGTGCGCGCCGTAGCATCAAGCCCTTCATGCCATTTCCTCCCAAGGCTCCCGGGCATGTGGATGCAACCGAGCCTTGATTAAAACTGGAGGGCACTAAATGTTGGAGGCAGTTTGGTTAGTAGCAAGAAAAGCAGTGGGTTTTTTTTGCTTTGCAGTGTTCTCGTTGGAAACGGAGATGGGTGGCACTGCCGATGGCCACAATTCTGAGTCTTGTCCTCTTTCCATTTAACAGAATAACAGAGTTGGAAGGGGCCTTAAAGGTCTTCTAGTCCAACCCCCTGCTCAAGCAGGAGACCCGATGCCATTCCAGACAAGTGGCTGTCAAGTCTCTTTTTAAAACCAGCTAGCTCTCCTGTCCTAGCAGCTTCTTTATGCTTGTATCTAGTAGCAACAGCAATAGGAATAGCACTTATATGCTTCTCCGTAGTGCTTTACAGCCCTCTCTGAATGGTTTAGAAATGTCAGCCTATTGCCCCCAACAATCTGGGTCCTCGTTTTACCAACCAAGGATGGAAGGCTGAGTCAACCTTGAGCCCTATCAGGATCGAACTCCAGGCTGTGGGCAGAGTTAGCTTGCAATAATATACTGCATTCTAACACCTACGCTCCCCACAGCATAGTAGGGAGAGCGATGTAAAGGAAATGATATGGTTTTCCCCCCAAATGGTTGTCTCGCTTTCAGGAAGGATCACCGCTGCTCTAAATGTTTGGGGGTGATCAAGGAAGCTACCGTAGCATTTCAGAAAAAAATAAAAGAAAAGAAATTGTAGGAGATGTCAGCTAGGAACCAAAACTGCCAGCCCATTTTAGGGACGGTTCTAATTGAGGAAATCTCTCCCCCCCCCCCCCCCCAGTAGCTGGATCAACAGCCTTCCAATGTTGTGGTAGGAAGAGAAGACCCACACCATGTGGTTGCTTTGGGTATGAAAAATCTGGGTTGGCTTAAAAACTAACAAGAGTTGCCAGAGCGTTCGCTCTCTCTTGAGCAGATTTCTGAACAGTTTCCTGCTGCTGAACTGGGATGAGTGGCTACATCTGTCCACTAGGATTCTGTCTGTATCTTCCCACATTTCAGCTAGCGATCATCAGTGTTCATCCTATTCTTCCTTTGTATTTTAAATTCACCTGACAGAATGTCGCTGCAAACAACCAAGGGACTGGCAGTCCCAAGGATCTGAAAGTCAGAAGGAGAGGGATTCCGCTTGTTGAACTACGTTTCCCACGTCCCTCGCTAGTGACCACGATAGGAATGCTTAAGTGCAGCTAGAAATTTTTGGAACAAAGGCCAGAGAGTCCTCTGTCACTGGGTTGGACTAGAGGACCTCTAAACTCCCTTCGAACCAAAAGACCGCTTGTGATTGCTCTGGATGGGAACCCTCAGACAGGTCCTGTAATCCTAGAGTGCACTAAGCATCTGGACCGGTGATTGTTGGGAAGAGACTCTTGGCATGGAAGAATTGGCCCTTCTTTATGACTGCTCTCTCTTAAAGGGCCAGGAATCATTTTAATGTGTATTTATTTGGGGGGGGAGGGTTAAGGTTTGAGGGCCAAGAGGGATGGCTTGGGGAGTGGTGGGGGGGGGGCGCACTGTCTCTTTTTATCTCTACTCTGCCAGCCCTGCGCAGGAAGGAAACCTGCCCGGTCCTGGCGGCAGGGTGACTTACTTTCCGAATCGGGAATTGAGCTTGTTAGTGAGGAGCTGGTAGAAGTGATGATGCTCATGGAAGGACTCATACCGTAACGGGGGTATGCTCCCGTCAAAGCCGTGGTATGAGAAATCCAGGCTGCGGGGTCGATCGGCCGCACTGGCTCAGCTGGATCACGAGAGGAAGGAGGGAGGAAGCGGGAAGAAGAAAAACAAAGCGGGTCAGCCAAACGTTATTTCCATTTTCCGTTCAACCTCAGGGGAAAAAAAAATAATGTTTTGAACCAAGTTAAGAGGCTGTGCAACATGTTGACAAGCAATAATAATCCTCTTCTCTATGGCCAGCTCAAAAATGCAGACTGCCAAGACTTTCAAAAGGTACCGATTCGCTTAATCAAGCTCAGCTATTAGTATCTTTGCAGCCACAGTGGTAGAAGCAGTTTGCTCTTGACCTGATAGGGAATGTTTTTTGACTTCCCAGTTCTGCCTATTTGTCTTGAGCTTTCCTAGTTGGTTCCTCCAGGACTAACCTAACAACACCCTTTATCAGCCAAGATGAGCTATGTTCTGCCACATAGCTGCATCATAGTAGGTTATTAAAAAAATCTATCTATCTTCCTCTGGCATAGTTTTCCTCACTGCCACAGCCCATTCACTCCTTCCTTCCTTCCTTCCTTCCTTCCTTCCTTCCTTCCTTCCTTCCTTCCTTCCTATTGAGAATTTTTGAACTGCTCATCTCCTTCAAAGAGGGAGAATACTGACAGAATACCATGCATATTACTTCTGATCACCCCAGGAGACCACACAATTCATTAACCATTAGGGTAATTTCAAAACATCTACCCCGACTCTCTTATAGAATGTCTATATTTACAATACAGAAAAACTAAGACATGCCCCACCATCATCATATTCCTATTAAAAATATAAAGTCTGAGAAAATTTGGTAACAGAATCAGGGTGCTCCCAAATATTTATTTATTAAATGTATATGCTGCCCATCTCGTTTAGAGGTGATATGAATATGAAGCAATGCTCTTTGCAATTTTACCAAACATAAAAGGATGCTGACTAAAAAAACGTGATATCCCTTAATGCCAAAAACGGTAGCAAGGAGCAGTCACTCACCCCTGGGGATTGTGAAGTAACTCCTGGGGGTAGGATCCCAGCATTTGGCCACTGTTAGGCTGATGGGTCTGGGAAAAGAAAACCGAAAGGAAAAAAAAAAAAGCAAAAGAGAAATCAGCTTCTATCCTTCCAACAGGGTCATTAAGTGACTGATCTGAAAAATAATCAGCTAGGCTGTCTCTCTGTTTTAAAGGGATATTCTATTTGAGAGAAAGCATAACCCAAATGAATATATAACTGGCTCTCTCAAATCTGAGGTGTCCACAAAAGGAAAGAAATGCTAGGAAGAAATATTTGCCGGAATCCACACAAATTTGCCAAACGGAAGGGGCAAAGCCCCTTAATTTATTTTCACTAGGAAGAGAAGCAGCACAACCTGGACAGCACTCCCTCATTCACTCACTCACCCGGGCTTGGAGACAATTTCCCGTAAAACCCTCACGGCATCGTCATTGCTCATGTTCTCGAAGTTCACCTCATTCACCTGCAAAATATCAGAGTTTGTCAGCAGGGAGGAGGCCCAACCCTTCCCTAATGCTATTTTCTCCAGGCGTTTCAGGTCACAGTGCCCATCATCCTCACACATGCTGGCTGGAGCTTATTGAAACAGCCCTTTTGGGAATTTAAACGCCGTGTGGGAGAAAGCGGACATGCCGAGGAAGGAAACTGAGGCCCAGTTAAGAAGCCACGTCTGCTGCCACCTTCTCAACCAACCTGTAAAAGCATGTCGCCTGGCTCAATCCGCCCATCCGCCGCCACTGCCCCGCCCTTCATGATGGAGCCGATGTAAATGCCGCCGTCTCCCCTGTCGTTGCTCTGTCCTACGATGCTTATTCCCAGAAAATTGTATTTTTCTGACATCGAGAAAGAGAACAATAGATTACACAAAGAAAGTTAAAGCAGATGTCCCCTGTGTGGGGGGTTATGTCCTCCAAACCAGAGCGAAAGACAGCAGCTGCCCAAGACACTCTAATGCTGATTTGACACCAACTGTCAAATTTTCTCTCGCTCTGCAGATTTAAATGCCCACGAATCTTGCCCAGTGTAGCCAGTGGGGCTTACCCATGTTGAGCGTAACAGTGATGATGTTGAGGGACATGGTGGAATCGGTGATGCTGCTGAAGGAGGACGACTAGAAGACAGAAGAGGAGAGAGAGTGGTAAGATGGCATAGTTTCAACATATTGGCGGCCAGAGCCAGCTGCAAAAACATCTCAGGTTGTCGGGGAGCGCCTGCTGCTTGCCACAAATTTATTTATTTATATTTCATATTTCTAAACAGCCTATCTCCATCAAAGATGGGTTCTGGGCAATGTACAATATAACTGATAAATACAACGACGTATAAAAATTAGAAATTAAAAATTAAATTAGGGTTAAAAATTGCAAAATTATAGAACGATGACAGTTCAACATCAAAAGAGGTGGGGCAACCTAAGATGGCCATTTAGTGTTGGATTATTACAGGCGAGGCAGGGCTCCCAAGGGACTAGCCAGCCCCATAGTTGCGAGGCCGCAGAGCCACGTTTTGACCCCTTTGCGGGAGGGCCAAGAGATTGACGGCTTCAAATGAGGAACAGGAGGAGCCCGATGCCATGGTGCCTTCCGTAAGGCCCTCAAAAGCTGTTCTTGTATTCGTTTTTCTTTGCCATCCCTCGCTGCAGCTATCTCTGATCTACGTCAGAGACCGCCACCCAAGCTGGGCATGTCAGCCCGATCCAGAAACAGCAACTGCTGGAACATTTTAAACCTAGATTGCAAAGCACTGCCATCCCAGCCTCTCACCCGGTCGATCTGTCGCATTTTATGTTTCCTTCGCCGGCGCTTGTGCTTGCGAATCAGACGGGACGACGTGCTCTGCTCCGTGGAGCTACTCAGCCTGGAGGGAGAAGAAAAGAGGAGCGGATTTGAGAAAGCGGAGCACAGCTCAATCACTTTGGTTCTTGGATGGCTGCTGCTTCTGGACTGCGAGAGGAAGATATTGTCAGTGAGATATCAGGCTTTATAGACACTTATGTAGAGCGAGAGAGAGAGTGAGAGAGAGAGAGAGAAAAAAAATGAAGTAATCTGGATCAGCTCCAAATGGCTAGTTTCATTCAATTCTGCCAGGCTTCAACAGGCAGGTCAGACTGGAATTAATCCGGCCACCTATGATTAGTCGTTTTTGCTAAAGTTTGGAAGTCATAAGGAAAGAATTCCAGCAACAGCTATGCGGCAAGAACAAACCCTACTTACAGATTTAATATTCAAAGGCTTTAGCTGTTCTTTTTCCACCCAGTATTGTTGATTTTTTTTTGCCAAGGAGACACAATTGGGTTAGATCTACTATTGTGCTGCTGTTGAACTACCTCATCCAGTAGTGGATCTTCGCGTTATAAATCCAGTGAAGGGAGTCTTAAATCCAAAATACGGAAGTGGGCCGATTTGATCTTTCAAACTGATCTGGAGAGTAAGCGAGATTTTTTCAATACACAAAAGCCTTTCCCCGTAATCAAATCAGTTAAGAGGCAATTTGACTCCCTTCAAATTTCCAACTCAATCCGGGAAATGGATTCAGAAGTTCCACTAAATTGGTGCCGAAGTTCTGCATGATTTAAGGAGACCATATGCCACCAAAGAAATAATGGGATACAAAGATCAAGGACACTCAGGATTAGTGTTAGCCCCTTTCTAATTTCAGCCTCTTTCCAGGCTAAAAGAAATAAGTCTGGCTAAGAAGATTCACAACTCTTCACATGCCTAGAAGCACCCTGGCCAAGCCCCGGGTGAGTTAAAAAAAAAACAAACCAGTCCGCAGCCCTTATCTGAAGTTGAAGCCGATACATCGAAGCCAATAGAGAGATCATTTCCCTGAATGAAAAGGACGAAGACAAAGAGAGTTCAAGAAAAAAAAGAAAGACAAAATACTCACACACAAGCAGAACCGAAACATTGCTCCGTTTTTCACAGAACAAGCTTTGAACCCCCCCACCCCATCCCCAACTGCCACAACAGGCCTACCCAATACTGACTGAAAATGTCCCTTTTGCAGCCCTGCACAAAAGCGTCCTTGTCTGCCCCGTTCAGTGCCGCCCCTCCTTATCACTCCCCTCCTGCTAGAACGCCTCACGGCTTTATGAAAATCATCTTTGTAATATGGAAAAACATACCTGGACACATTCCATTCTCCTGCTCTGCCTGGCTGCCTGGCCAGCAGATTGGCCGGCTCAGAAAGGAAAGTCTGCCCTGCTCACGGCTTCTGAGTTTGGGGGTTTGGGTGTAAAAGAGGGAGGGGGGGTGGTTGTTTTTATTGTTGATTTTATTTTTCATTTATTTATTTATTTATTTATTTATTTATTTATTTATTTATTCAACGCCTATGCCGTCCATCTCGCCTGGAGGCGACTCTTCAGGCGGCTTACACTCATTAAAAAGAATAAAAAAAACAGAATTAAAAGGGAGTGGAGTGATGGACCCAATCGCAGCATAACGTCCATCTGAAATGGACAGTCCTAGAATAGGGTTAGGGTTAGAATAGGCCATCAGCCCAGCTGATGGGAGCTGCAACCAAATCTAGAAGGACAAGGCAAGGCCAGCGTAGGAGCCGGCAATGGACACGTAGACAATGGGAGAGGGGTTTGAGTTCACAACCACAGGTGTGAAAAGCCTTTCCAGATTGCAGCAGACCAGAGCCGAACATGAGCCAGAGGTATGATGCTGTGGCAAAGAAAAATGATGCAGTTGTCGGCATCAGTCATGGAGGCAGCTCTCCTCTGCAAAGTCTAGCTTCTGTGGCAAACAGTGAGGGATTCGCTATTGTTTTGCAGCCCCAAATATCTAGCAGACATCCAATTGTTTAGTGCTGACCTAAAGGCATGCCGTGTTCTGAAGCAGAGATTATTTAGCCACTGCTATAGATTTCCACATTGAGCTGCAGGAAAAACCAATCTGGATCCAGCTCAGACTCCATGTGGACAAAGCAACCACCTGTGGCACCTTCAAAAGGCTTATTGGAGTTCAGTTCCCATCAGTCCCAGCCAGCTAACTCAATGGCAACGGTGGACCTTGTGCTCCAGAGTATTTATAGAACCCGCCGTTGCCCAGGTCAGGTCTGAGAAACACTCCTGAAAAGTGTCGTGGAGTGGCAAAGGACTTCCTTACCTGCTGGTGTTTTCCTCATTGTC